TGTGCACAATCAGAAGAAGTAGGGAGGGAAGGACATTCAAAGAATAACAAGGTCCTGAGCTGCAGAGGTCAGAGACCCATGCACCTATGACAGTCCTTCCTTGGCATGGGCCTAGCTCCCCTCTGGGTTCCCCTCTGAGCAAACCTTGGGGCTGCTGTGACCAATGTGTACCACAGGAGTGGGCTGTGTCACTTCAAGGCCTGGCCTTAAGGGACTAATCTTTCCATGTCCTGTCCTTGAACATGGTTCTCACAATGTCAGCTCTAGAAGCCAGAGCCGAGCTTCCCCAGGACATCTGGCCAAGGGGAAATCCAAGAGGAGAGCAGGGGGGAAGGCAGGCAGAGGAATAAGGGCTAGGAGGAACCAGGTCACCTCAGAAGCAGGCAAGGAGAAAGGAGGGGACTCATGGGCCACAACAAGAGCTCGAGAAGGCTTATACACAGAGTGCTCTGACACTGTAGTTGGTCTCTTCTCTCGCCTCTGGTCTCCACAGACAGTGCTTCATGTCGTCATTGCTATCAACAAACACAGCAGCCAGCAGTGCCCTTGGTGAGCAGGGTGTCCTGGTCAGCAGCGTCCCCAGGATTACTCTTTTTTCTGCTCCTCCACCCACACCTGTTCCTGCCCCCTTTGGCTTGAGGCAGCTGCCCTCTAGTGGAAGCTGGGCCCTCAGTCTTCCCTGAAGACGTGAGCTGTGAGCTGTCCTCCAGCTTCTACTTCAGGAGGTCATCCACAAAGGTCTCCGAGCCATCACCTGGCCCAGGGCACACTGACCACCACACTGCCGAGGGGCCACTTCTCGGGGTCACCTGCCAGCCTGCTTGCCTGGGGTGTCCAGGAATGGGGGCTCAGTGCCCAACCTGAGGAGCCCTGTACAACCTGGCCACTCCTCCAAAGCTGACCTGTGCAGTGCCTGGGCTCTGGATCACTACGACAGAAGCAGGAGAAGCCAGAGAGCCTGGGGCTGCTTCCAACTTACACATGGCAGCCCTGCTCTCTATTTAATGGCGGTAAGGGTGCAGATGCAGACCAGCATCAGGGATACCCACGCTCTTGACCCGAAGAGTCCAGAAGATCCCAACAAACACGCTGCACCCTGCCACAGAGCACGGGCCCAGGCGCAGCCACCCCAGCTGAGCCTGGGGCTTCCACTCCTTCTGGCTCCAGAGACAGCCCCAGCCCCCCATTCCCCCACACAGGCTGGGACAGCAGACTGTTGGGCAAAGCTGCGTGTGCCCCCACAGGGTTGGCACCACAGTGTGACTGTGGCAGAGGCGCCTGGCCCCGGTGGCCCCGGCTGGGCCGGGAGCGGCAGGCTGCGGTGCAATGTCTATGATCAGCCGGGTGTAGGCTGGGGCTCGAGGACACAGAGGAATGAAAAGGGCAGCGAGCTTCTACCACTCTTCAACAACACGTAAGAGAAACAAGTTAAACAGAAATATAAAATCGATATTCAGTCTTGACAGGACAAGGAGGTAAAAACGAAATTAAGTTTTAAAGCTGCTGAATGGCCTCAAAAATCCCCACATAAAAAGAAGCAGTTAGTTCACAAGCATTCCCATGTCCATTCAGACACAGCGGGGATCCCCACAGGGAAACTCAAGCCGAGCTCCCCAAATGAGCTGAAAGACAGCAAATGTGCAACACAGGTGCCGTGCATTTCGCTCTGTCAAATGGAAAAGAATTACGACCCAAGGAGAGAATTATGCACTATTGCTGTAACTGCGGTCTTTCTGTGAGGCTAGAAGACTTGGAAATAGATTTCAATTAAAATTCTGCATAACTCATGTCAACTTTTCATAAAACCATCAGATGTATCACATCCCCTGAGCGCAAATTCTGATCCACTATAAAATTATATTATTTACAGTACATTACTCCAGGCACTTCGTCTAATTTCCTGAATAAATTACATATCATTTCAAAAAGGGAGAAGTATTTTTAGCAACACAAAGCACCTAGTAACATATAAAACCCACTCTTGAAGGGCTCAGATGAAAGCTGTTCTGCTTCCTTTCGAGCATTCCACAATAACTGTCAGTGTGCTCGCAGCTAAGTGCCTTCTGACACACATCAGAGATTACGCAAAATAGGATGACCCTGCAAACATGAACAACAGAGACAACCATGCGGGCAGCAGCTAATCTGGTTTAGCAAAGAACACTAGTTCCTGCCAGGCATGGTGGCACGTGCCTGTAATCCAGCACTCAGAAGGCTGAGGCAGGAGGATCACCATCAGTTCGAGGTCAGTCTGGGCTACACAGTGAGACCCTGCCTCAAGAAAGAAAAAAGAAAATGAACTCCTCACAGGGCCAGACTTGGTCCCACAACTGAGAAGAGACTGTTTAAACAGAGAGAGGACCCAGAAGGCTCTGTGGGGCAACACATGGAAACCCAACAGGGCACCCTGGGAACACACTGTGGCCACCAGAGGCTGGCAAAGGAGAGTCCTCTAAAGTAGGCTCTATGTCCGTGTGACAGGTGGACGCACTTTACAAGAGTGACAACTCAGAGAAAATGCCAAGGAGACAAACTGCAGCAAGCCTGGCAGCAGAGGATCCTCGGGCCTGTGGCAGGCTCTGCATAGCTCCCCAAAGCCTTCTCGCCATCTTCAGTCGTGCAAGCCAAAGAGGCCTGCGGGACAAGGATCTGGGTTTGTGTAATACAGAGAGAAAATTCAAGATCCTGAAACACTACAGGGCTAACAACAAGAATTAGAAACCTGCAAAAGCGTATGACAAGAGCAAGAAATACAGCAGCCAGAGACTGAAAAGGATGCCCTACTTTAATAAGTCCTGCTAGGCATGGTGGTGCATGTCCATCATTCCAGCACTCAGAGGATGGCGGGAGGGTCGATCCAAGTATGAGGCTAGCCTGGCCTACCAAGGGAAAGCCTGTCTACAAACACCAAAAGAAGTTTGATTTTTTTTTTTTAAGTCTCAAGATAAAATGCATTACCAAGAGAGGCTGAATGTGTTCCCTGGTAACTTTGTAAATAGCAAAATATAATGGTATTAAACACAATGCACCCCCAGAAACATGGACAGAGAGTACAGTGAGGCAGCTTCTTTGGAGACTCGGCAGCTTCATATTTCTCCCATAAACCAGGACCACGGCAAAGTGGATTTACACTACCGACATGCACCCGGAAGTCCCGTGTGGCTCTGGGGCAGCTGAAATGCAGAAATACAAGGCTGCTGGAGGACAGCACAGGAGAACACCACATGGTGCTGTGGGTCATGGTGACACCTCAGATGCACCAGTAGAGGCATAATTCGCGACAGAAACATCAGATCAGCTGGTCTTCACTAAAACTGCAATGCTCAATTCTCTGAAAGACACTGCCTCAAGAATGAAAAGACAACCCACATCTAGAAGAAAATATTTGCCAAACACAGATCTCATTACGGACAAACTACTGCAAAGAATATCTATCTAACAGGACTTGCATATATCTATAAGACTAGTATCCAAAATATATGAAGAACTCAGAAAAAAGAAAGCAAACAATTAAAAAATGGGCCAAAACCTTATTAGTCACCTTCCCATAATGACACACAGAAAGCAAATGAGCAGACGAAAAGATGTTCCGCATCCTTCATCAGGGGAAATGTAAATAAAAATCACCCAGAGAGCGCCCACTCAACATCATTCTGGTTTTTGGTTTTTGAGACTGGGTCTTGCTGCGTAGTTTAGGCTGGCCTTGAACTCACTGCGTAGCCCAGGCTGGCCTCAAGTGTTGCAGCAATTCTCCTGCCTCAGCCTCCCAACTGCTGGGATTACAGGTGTGTGCCACCAGGCCTGGTCCACCTCAACAGCTCTGGAAAGGCCAAGCTCCACGCAGTGCCAAGGCCAAAGCCTGGTGAGGGTGACAAGTGCAGCAGGAACTCACCTTGGCTACCGAGAGAACCTGAAGTGGTACAGTAGGGCGCTTTCCAACCAAGAACCACATGCTTACCCTCTGATCTAGCACTCACAGTTCAGTTTTGTGCACACCAAACCCACAGTGGATACTTATGGAAGTTTTGTTCATAATCATCTCAACCTAGAAGCAATCGAGATATCCTGCAGTAAGTGAGGAGAGGCACTGTGGGACAACTCGGAAGATTAATCAGTGCTACAAAGAAAAGAGCCGTCGAGTGACAAGGAAGCTTTAAGTGCATGTCAGTAAGTGAAAGAACTGGTGGTGCATTCCTGCAGTCCCAGCACTCTGGGAGGCGGAGGCAGGAGGACAGCAAGTTGGAGTCCAATCTGGGCAACTCAGCAACTTAGTAAGACCCTGTCTCAGAAATTAAAAGGGCGAGAAATGTAGCCCAGGGCACAAGTGCTGAGAAACCACAGGGAAAGCCAAACCATCAGTGGTTGCCAGGGCCTGGGGAGCCAGGGAGCACGGTGAAGAGACTGTGTGTGACATGTTACTGTCACTGTATCCAAGTCCATACGATACACAACACCACACATGATCACATGTACCCTGGGGACAGTGGTGACTAGCAGGGTCATGCAAGTCCATCACCTGTGACAGATGTGACATCACCATACCTTCTCTCACTTCAGCTGTGACCCTCACACCAAAAGAAAAAATAATAATAGCATAAACTATATGATATCACTTTATATTGATCACATGATAAAAACATCTACTGAGTCAAATGAAATACATTTTAAATTCATTTCCCTTGTTTCCTCTTCATCTCTGGGACACATCCACGAGGTCACATTTAGGGCCTGCACTCTATTCCACGGCACAGCACTAGTGAGGAAATTGGCAACATCACACATTTGGGGGCCCCTTATTTCCACACAGGGACAGCAGGAAGGAGGACACGCTGTTGCATCCAGCGCACCCCAAGGACTAGACCTAAGCCTGGCAGTGGCAGCAGTGACGGTGCTAGGGGACCAGGTGTCAGCAGGGACTGCATGGACACACAGACGGTGACCTGGGCCCTGCCCCTCTGCCGGGCCACCCACACCCTCCCAGCCGCTGTGCCAGGGCCCACCTTTGATGAGCTCGGGCTGGTAGGTCTTCCGCAGCTGCTCCAGGAAGCTGTTATAGAAGCCCTCGGCCTGCTCGGTGGGCATGGCCAGGTGGAAGTCGGGCTTGTTGCCCTTGAGGACGCACTGCAGGGTGAACTGGCTGACACACAGCACCTCGTACTGCTTGTCCATGACACTCTTGGACCAGTGCTTGCCGCTCTCATCCTCAAACACACGCAGGTTCAGGATCTTCCGGACCCTGTGGGGGAAAGAAGAGCAGTGAGAGCAACTGCGCGGCCCCCACACTCCATGCACCCCAGCCGTCCCCAGCTTGCTGCTGAGGAGGGATGGAGCTATGGTGCCCAGAAGGTATGACCCTGGCTGGCACTCACTGGCACCACCACCCGGGTACAGCCTTATCCCAGGACGCTGCCCTGGGCTGTCAGCTGCTGCTGCTGCTGCTGCTCCTGCTGCTGCTGCTGCTGCTGCTGCTGCTGCTGCTGCTGCTGCTGCTGCTGCTGCTGCTGCTGCTGCTGCTGCTGTCTCTGTCCACCACAGCAGCTCCAGGCTGGCTGGAATGATAACCTGTGCTGCCTACTCTTCCAGACCGGGGATCTGCCCAAATACAGGGCTGTGTCCCCCACTGTGGCTGAGCCAGGATGGCCACCCAGTGAATGAAGTAGGGGAGGTCACAGTCACAGAACCATAAAGTATCTCCTAGGAAGCTGACCCTAAGTCCTGACTACGCATGCACCCTCCAGAGTGGGTACCATTCTGGACCCCAATTACCCCCCACCAGCCTGGGTGGGTTGTCATAGGTTCTGGGTAGCAAGCATCTAAAGCCAACATGCCACAAGGGATGCCAACTCAGGCAGGGCTGACCCCCAGGACAGCGAGCCAGACCTCAGCAGCAAGCTCCAACTTTGGGCTCAGGCCTCCACAGCCCAGGGCAGGTAGCTGCCTCTCCGGGCTCTAGATCTTCTGTAGACAGTGAACAACAGGGCACCCTAGAGGTGTGACCAGTCATACTGGTCATACTGCCCAAGTTCCAAAAAGAACCTATTTATAGGAGCTTTGGTTTTTGCATTAAGAGAAAAGAGGGCCAGGCTTAAGAGCCTATAAACTCAGCTCTGGGAAGCTGGGGCAGGAGTATGCAAAGTTCTAGCCCATCCTAGGGGAATATAAATTTTTTTTCTCAATCTTTATTCTTTTTTTAAAATTAATTTTATTGAGAAACACATAGCAATGAGACAGTTTTAAAAGTGATTAATAGGACAATTTCAATAATTAATACATTCCATATTATTATCTTCTTAGTGGTTATTCATAGTACAAGATGCAGACAATGTAAATTTTAAACAGGAGGAGGCAGCTCAGGGTAAAGGCTCTAGGCTCAGTCCCAGTACTGAGGCATCTGTGAGGAACAAGCATGCAGGTTCAGGAACAAGGACAGGTGGGGGCCAAGCTGCCCTCCTCCTGTGTGTCACCTGAGACACACAGACATCATCTCACTACAGAAAGTGCAGTGACAGATCAAAGCACCGGGGACACGCATCACAGCCCCCGAGCCCCGGCTCTCACATGTGCTCCAGCTCCTTCTGTGAGTCTTCCAGGGAGATGCCCAGCAGTACGCACAGGCCCCGGCCGATGGCGCTCACCTGCTCGCCTCCAACTAGAAAGAACCAAAAGAGACCGGCTGAGAGGTGACCTGGGGCTGAGTCCCACAGTGCACTTCACTTCCTGCAATTTCTCTGGTAAGCAAATTAAATGGCAGTACATGCAAGTGGTAAGATGCTACACAGTCCCATCCCTTCTGATTCTCTTTTCTTTTGTTGGCACTGGGGATTGGACACAGGGCCTTGGTACTTCCCGGCTCTTTTTTTATTTTTCTTTTTGGTTTTGTTGTTGTTTGTTTGCTTTGAAGGTTTCAATTGTACTTTATTTCTTCAATAGGCCCTATTTTAATGGATACACTGCACTTTTACTTGGCATCAATTATGATTTCATTTAGAAATCCTTTAGCGGTATCCTATCAGCTGGCATGATTCCTGATCTCTCCGTTCCTTGGGGGTGACTCTGTCCACAGGGGAAAGGTTCCATTCTATTCCAATCTGTGTTGCTGTGTAGGTCCACGCAGCAATACAGAATGTGGCTCCACCAACGAATACAGCATTACCACATTTGTCATGGAAATCAGGTGTACATTTCTGGTGGCTCTGCCTGGTTACCATTTGTTGAATGCTTCGCACTGGAAAATGACCTAATGCGTTTTTGGCCAAGGGAATCATCGCGGAGTTGAAGTTGAAACTGTAGTTACAGCAGCTGCCAGCTTGGTGCCTATTTTTCCTTTTGAAACAGGGTCTTGCCATGTAACCAAACTGCCCAGGGCAGCCTCCAACTTTCGATCCTCCTGCCTCAGCCTCACAGAGCGCTGGGATCACAGGTGTGCACCACCACAGGCAGCTCCATTCTGGTACCTGCAGTACGTGGGAGCTGTAAAGTTAGCAAGCACTAAGCAGGATTTGAGAGCCACATTTTCATCTGTTATCTGGGATGAGACACCTGAAATTTTCTGGAGTCCCATTTCTGAAAAGCCCCGGCACTTTCCTCCCCAAAAGAATCCAGCTCAGCTAGATTAGAGGGGAAGCTCACACTCTTCTGGGAAACGAGCAAATCTGGCAACAATATGGAGAAGGGTTATATCCTAAGAGCAATTCTGTTCTTCCTAATTACAACTGAGAACGTAAATACATTATACCTAAAATTATATGAGTTTTGTGTCTGCCCTCCCTCGGCCCCTGCCTGCCTTTCCCAAGCTGGACTCCAGGGACACTGCAAGCCCACAAACACCTACAAGTGTGTGTGTGTGTGTGTGTGTGTGTGTGTGTGTGTGTGTTCCCACTCAAGTGTCCACCCTCTACCACTGGACAAGGTCTCAGATGTGGGCAGAGCACTTAGCCAAAATTTACCATTCGGATAATGGATTTGACTCTATTTCAAATGGCGACCCTGATCATGTCCTCTTGTTAGCCAATCTCTTGTCAATGTCTCCCTGGGCCTGCCGTGCCGGCCCCAACCTAAGGGTGCACTGAGAAGGCAATTGAGACCGGGCGTCATGGTGTGTGCCTGTAATCCCAGCTCTTGGGAAGCTATAAACAGGCGGATCACTATGAGTCCGATCTAGTAGTGAAACCCTGAACACCCTGTAGACCCTTCCCTAAAATACAAAAATAAATACATAAAAATAAAAAAATAAATTTCTAGCCCTTTAGGGGGCCTGCCGGTCAGCTCAGTTGTTTAAGTGCCTGCTCATGCAAATGCAGTCAGGCACAGGATAATTCCCACCTCCACCTGCATTACCAGACCTGCCCTTAAGGCAGCCTGAGCCAGCCAAAAAAAAAATAAATAATTCTCTTGTCAATGTCCTTAGATTACTGTTGCTTATTGTGTCATCGTGTTCTGACCTAAAATGTTCTAAGCAGAACTAGGAGGAGCAACTCTACCATCTTCCTGGCTCTTGTTCTGCTCAATAAAATAGACACAAACACACCTCAAAGGGCCACAGAGCTTCACGGGCTCCTCCCCCTCTGGCTGTCCACTGCAGGGGACACCAGCATCAGTCTGCTCCTAAAATGTCAGCAAAGCTTGACTGCTCTCATCGCTGTGCTACACTTGCACTCTTTTCCTCAGTGCTGCTCTGTCTTTAATGGACTACATGTGACTGCCATCCTGTAAGCCACTGACTCAAAAGCTAGGAGAGACACAATTTTTCCTGAAATAAGCAGTAAATGACTGGCCTGATTTTGCCTTTTTTTTTTTTTTTTTTTTT